TCGGGGCAGCAATACGCAAAACCTCCCCTCCAGAGACCAAGAGGGGAAACCCCTAGTAGCACGTGAAGTTGGCAAACCGCCGAACCTGCGCACACAACACGGCATATTATGGGAAGGGTACACTAATTGCCCGAGGCCATGTGGGAATCACTAAAAATCCAAGCGCCTCAAGAACAGAGGAAGGTCATGATGCTGCCAAATGATAAGTGACTAAGATGAAATCATTGCCGACGGTCAAAGTCAGCGATTTTTGACGTCAAGCACTGTTAAAAAAATTCTGAAAATTCAGACCAATTTTGTCAGACTTAGCGGTCTGAATCTGTAAATCAGACTTAGTTCTGAAAAATCAGAGTTTTTGTCTTAGTTCTTAAACGCTTTGTCTGAAAGCTTAATTCAGACTCGAAGTGTCTTAATATTTGTACTCATTCTCAAAATTCATATGAACTTGCGTCAGACTTCCCAGCCCTCAAGAGTCTGAATTTCAAATTTCAGACTACTTTCTGAAATATGTTAAAAATAAGAAAATTGGACAACTTTCTTCCAACCTAACATTGGGTTAACTCACAATCAGTCTTACATTCAATTTAATCCGACTCCGTTTCGGGGACTTCAGAAAAAACGAAAGCTTTTTTCTCTCCGCTAGGTGGCGCCAGTGTCGGTAAAGAGCCTGCTGTTGTTAAAAACGTTTTTTCTGTTAAATTTTTAATATTTTGAACCCGAAATGGCCATCACTCTATTGGCTATGACGAAACACACGCTCCCATACCAAATTTATATCTGTAGCAAACGCGCGAGTTTAACAATTGACATTTGAAGTTACCTCTCGCGGTTGGCTCCGTGCCGTCGTTCCCTAGGGTGCGTCATGCCAGCTCCAGATGAGTGCAGGGAAGTGTCCCACATCGGGGACATTGCACTACACTCAATTTTTTACCTAGACGGTTCCTTGAAGTACGTCTCTCCTTTGAGGTTCGGATGCGAACATTATCATTTCACCGAGTTACGAGAAAATTTCCTGCTGCCACTTTCAGACAAAACAATCTAGTAATTGAGACAATTTTGTCTGAATTTTTCAGACTACGACCTGTCTGAAAGGTTAAGACTTGTGTAAGTCTGAAAATTTCAGACCAGGATTTAGTCTGAATTTTCAGTAGGATGTTCTGCATATTTACTTCAGTCAAAAAAGTCTGAATTTTCAGCAAAATTTTTTAACAGTGAGTGCATGTCGATTGATATCCTTTTAAGGAATTGATGGTATCTTATGTTGTGAATTTGACACAAAATACCCAGTCAAATTCTAGTCATGAGGGATCACTGATGCAGAGCGTCACTAAATTTAACGAGGGGTGAATCACTCATCGTTCTGGTCTACACATGAGTACATGAGTACGGGTGAGTACACCTTGCTTTACTTAAAAATGTCACAATTTTGAACGTTTCAAGGCTTTATTTAGCGTTTTAAACGTAACCCAACGATGAATCGGTCAAAAAACTACAGAGTTTCGCCCTTTCAAAACTTGTGAGTACACTGAGTACGGGCGGTACACATGAGTACACTAGTGATTCACACCTCGAAATTTAACAATTTTAGCTCACTTGACGTCAACATGACCTTTTTATGGTCTCTGGGCGTGGTCTGGACCACACCAACTGGTGCGGACAATTGGGTGCCGTTTTGGCCGCATCTGTTAGTGTGGTCTAGACCATGTTCCTTTACATGGAAAGAAAGACCACACCAAATGTGGTCTACACTCTAAGACTCGTATTGACTTTTTCTCTCCATTATTGACTTTTTGCCCTTTTGATTACGTATTTTTTTTTTAAGCAGCAACAATATGTGTATTTCCTTGTACAATTTTGTTCATTTTAAAGACTAAGGGAAGGTGAAGCACAATGGGCACTTTTCTTTAAATTGACGTAGGCAACGGAGTATTTGACTAAAATACCCCAAACTGTCCTCAACGATAGTAAATAATTTACCTACTAGCCGCTAGGGAGAATTATTACGGGGGTTTAAAGGGGAAATTTTTCCGTAGCTTTCTGTCACAGTGATGCGTGCCAGAAAAAAAAAGGGAGGCTTATTTGGCTGTCACAGTGTATTCCTTGACTGTTCTTTGAGGGTACGAAGAAAAAGACAACTTCTTAGCCAACAAAGTAAATCATTCGCTTATGTTCTTGCAAAACCCAAACCAAATCGTTCGTATCGAAGACGGTTCCCTTCCGGGACTTTGAGGCGCTGTTTGCTTGGAGCAAGGAAATCATTTCTTGGTACTTTTTAAAGCTAACTGGGACTGAAAATTCACAACCACTACCAGCTTTTGGCTTCAGCGACCAGCTTGGAAGAGAAAATAAGACAATGCCTTCATCGACCTTTCATCTTTCATTATCGAACGCATCCCCACACACATGCGACTCCTGATTGCGACCTTTCGCACTCACCCCTTCCTGGCGCAAGCGCTGTAACACGGCTTCCTTCTCTGTCTGACTTTTGTGACTCAGGTCTACAAGTTGAGCTCCTCGAAGCTCACCTGAACAGCAGGAACTGCAGCAACCACCAACTGTGGAACAGAGATGAATTTCCTATAAACTAAAATGCCACACAGCGTCTTGAAGGACACGAAAAAACCCCATCTTTCGAGCCTACCTCGGCATCGTTTTGCATCGTGGTCGGGTGGTCAGGCTCATCCGGATTCTCTGCCTCCACTTTAAAATTTCCCCACGAATCGACACGTCACCATGGCTTGAATCACCGTCCTCAGGGTTTTGGCATGCCCCGCATCGAACAATACATGTTAAGACAAATATGACTATTTCTCAGCTGATTTTTCTCGTTTCCCCCCACCTGTGCCCCACTGGATTGGCTGCCACTCGCGCCCTGCTCGCTGCAGAACTGTGGCTGGGGCGGCAGGGCGGCGCCTTGCCCAAAGCAGTCCACACTGAAAGCTTCCTCCTTGACGGCGATGTGGCGTGCACTAGAACCTGGAAAGAACGACGGAGTGAGTACCGCTAGGCTGCGTGGAGAGGTGCTGCCATTCCCAGCAAAGGAGTGCAGAGCCACCACCAAACAAGGAACACAGCATTCCATAAAAAGCATAGAAAGCATAGCCGAAAAAGAAAACAGTCACCACTGAGAAAACCTTACCAACTATTTTGGGCCTTACAAAGAAAGTAGTTTGTATAACAAAGTATTTTGAGCAACATAAGCTTACAAAAAATACTTCGTAATCTACGAACTATTTCTTCGTATAACAAAGTTCATTAGTTTGTTATATGTATGCTCAAAATACTTCGTAAGGTTTTAAGAGTGCATGCGAGGATATTTGGTGCCCGGTCCACTGTGGCAAAAAGCTACGGAAAATTCTGTAAACAGCTTGTGGTAATTCTCCGTAGGCCCCTTATCAATATTCTCCGTAGGCTCTTACAGTATTTTCTGTAGGACCGCACAGTATTCTCCGTAGGACCGCACAGTGATCTCCGTAGGACTATACAGTCTTCGAGGTCCTACGGAGAAGACTGTGCGATTTACAGAGAATACTGTGCGGCCCTACGGAGAATACTGTAAGAGCCTACGGAGAATATTGATAAGAGGGCTACGGAGAATCCTGGCAAAAAAATTAACAGGATTTTCCGTACCTTTTTGCCACAGTGCACAGTAAATTGAAATGGCAGAATCTGTAGTGGTCTGAGAGCCCCAAATCGCAGAAACTGACAGTAAATAGATCCGGGGCGGTTTTGCACCAAACCGCCAACGGCAAACCCATTCTGCACACAGGCGACGGAATCCGTGCACTCGCCACGGAATCCGGACAACACTGCACCGTAATCGTCAATTGCGATTCCCTCCACCTCGCGACTTTGAGATGTTACATTATTGGAAATAAAGAGTGTAGATGTACCGCGTAAGGAATATATTAATTTATAGACTTGTCAAAGCAAGAAAAAGTATGCACACTCATCAATATATGTAAATAATGTCCAAAACAACAAAACATTCAGAGACACAGTGAGGTTAGGTTGGCCAGCGAGACCGCAACCCCTTAGCAGTTTCTGTGAGCCCATCTCAGTTTCTGTGGAGCCTTTGTCAGTTTCTGTTAGCCCATGCCAGTTTCTGTGACTACCAAATTCAGAATCATTTACTGGCGGTTTCTGTGCCCAACCGTTACGGATTCTGCCATTTCAATTTACTGTGTGTCCCTGGGGAAAGTGTTGCATATCTGATGGACGAGTCAACCAACGTACACTCTGCGAAGTACTGCTTTTGTGTCAGGAATTCAGCCGTTTGCAGTGTATATGGTGGCTGGCATGATTTGGACGCAAAATATGTTGCGCATGCGTGAAGCAGGGTTATCAGAGCACAGCATACACAAAGACACTACAATCAAACTTTTCTTTTCAAAGACAAAAGTACCGTGCAGTAAACCAATAGCTAAATTGCGATAGACATCTTTTGTTGACCAAACAACGACTCCTTGGAGCTCCTTGGCTGCCCGCACCGACAGGTTTCGTTATATAGATAGAGCGAGCCCTTCGACAAACAACATGGCATCAAGGCTGTCTATAATTTGCTGCAATATCACATAAGCGCTTTCACGACACATTGCTTTGGAAGTTCGACTCTTGGGTTGTACTTGTACTGTTCTCGACAGCCAGCGTCAGTTTGATGCATGTGACTCCAATCCGGGCAGGAAATTCCGGCCGCAAGAGTCCACCCTGCCTGAGCTCTCCAGATAATTTTGCTTCATAACACGAAGTATTTCATCGTAGATTTTACAGGCATTGCAATGCCTTCATTTTCTTCGTAATACGAAGCGATTCTTCGTTCAGTGTTTACTGTGTGGGGGAAACGGAAGTGTGCTAGGCCAAGCACACTCCTATGAGCTTGTCAAAGCATACGTACTCCTATAGACGTGTTATTGTTCCAACACACTCCTGTGGATGTGTCCGGATGTGCGCTTGTCAAGTACACTCGCAGATGTGTGCTTAATTACATTCCCAAAGCTGAGTACACATTTGATCTCGTAGTGAACTGCTCTTGGCCCATGAGCTCAGTGTCAAAGTTTCACTATTCAAATCAAGTAGGAAAATGAGAAGACCATATAGATGCCGGATAGCTTTAATGTGCAATTCAAAATTTGCATTAACAGACATTATTTTTGATACACAGGTCTCGGCTCTAGAAAGGTTCCATCTCAAGCTTATCACAATGCTTGCACTGCAGCAGGGTGTTTGGCAGAACGCGCCGCACAGCGGCCACCTGTTCACGGCACGACGAGAGCGTGTGGCGGCGGGGCGACCTGCACAGCACGAGCCGAGAGAGGCGGAGGCCGCACCGCACCAGCAGGCCGGCAGGTCGTCGTCCACTGCCAGCGGACGGTACCTCTTCTTGGGGGCTTTGGGTGTATCGACGTGCAGCCAGAGCACCTCCAGCGACGCGCGGTGGGCGTGCAGCAGCGAGAGCAGGGCAGACCAGGGCAGTCCTTCAACCCGCAGCCACTGGAGACCCCGTCGTGCTGCAGAGGGGCAGCGTCGTGGGCTGCTCGTCGGAAGGCACGAGAGAGCCGACATGTTCCACTCCATCCGCCGTAGTCGCGGCATGGCGTGTATAGCCTCAAAGTGCCTTTTGCTGAGGCTTCAACAGAAATCTCCTCAAGTGTAGGGGCGACACTGCGCAGTACCTCCAAGGCGAAGCCAGGGCTGTCACCGAACAACCCGTTGGTCAGCCGCCGAACCTGCACACATCGAAGGGGGTCAAAAGGAAGAGGTGCTAGAAAAAAATCTACGAAAGCATTTGCCTTGTCACTACGAAGGAAATAAGGGCATTGTGGAATTGCTTCGTAACGGAAGAAATCGAAGGCATAGTAGAATAGAGTATTCTAGTCGTCGCCGATCGAAGAACAAGAAGAAGAACAAAGCCGGAACTGGCCCCGGCACATAACCTCCCAGACTTCTGTGAGTGGACTAGTTTCTGAGTTTTTTGTGGCGTATATCCTTCATAAGCACTTTTGTTTGTTCCAAACAGTTTTTGACTCAGGAAATAAAAATATTTGTCGACATTTCTCGTTGGAACCGGGTTTGATACCTACTCCGATTCTTCCCGGCTTCCGGTTTTGTTCTTCTTTTTGTTCTTCGATCGGCGACGACTAGAATGCTCTATTGCTTCGGAACATGAAGACATGCTTCGTAAGACGAAGGATTTTGCTTGATAATCCAAAGCAATTCTGCGTAGTACAACGCCTTCGTCTTCTTTACGAATTGATGCTTTGAAGACTTCTTTTCTGTAGGTAAAGTGTCAACCCCAGCATAGTGAGTAAAAACTGCAAAGTCTACAAATTATTTTCTTCATAATTCAAACGAAAATAGGCATTGAAGAATTGCTTCGTTTTATGAAGAAATGCTTCCTATTACGAAGAGCTCTGCTTCATAATACGAAGCGTTTCTTCGTAGATTTTACAATGCCTTCATTTTCTTTGCATTACGAAGCGTGGAATAAATGCACTGGGACCCCGGAGTGTGACATCACGTTCCAGACTCACCCCTCCTTGCTGGCGCAAGAGTGCTAACGCTGCTTTCTTCGCTGGTAGGCTTTGGCCTCTTAGAGACCGATACAGGTCCTGAAAGTCGAGCTCCAGAATGCCCTTCTGGACTGCAGGCATCGCTGTTGCAGGGAGCTTTTCCTACAGAATAGAGAAGGAGTGGACGAGTTGAACAATCGTACCACGAACATTTTCTAATGAAAAGACGATATTTACCATAGAGGACCTTCCCCTGGAATTGGTTTCTTCATCGACCTGCTTCTGGACCACATCGTGAGGGTCATCAAGTTTCTCTTCCTTCACTTTAAATTCACAGTGAATCGTCAGGTCGCCAAGGCTTGAATGGCAGTTGTCAAGTTCTGGCATGTCCTGATCAAGCGAACAAAACAGGAATCAGGGAATAAGTCGCAATAACTCGTCGGAAAAGGACACACTTCGACTTAAAACGATACTGCAAATGAGTTATAACCAGGTAACATTTTGAGGGTTAAAAGGTCATTTATGACTGATTTCCATTCAAACGAATAAGGCACAATGCTCAAAGGAAAGGTAATTTTGTCACATTCGTTGTAACGTGGTGTCACGTTCCTACAATGAGAGTGTGCGCTTGAGATTTTAGAATTGCCTCCCTCACCTGCGCCGCAGTGGATGGGTTCCCGTCCTGGTGCCCTCCGCGTTCACTCGAAGCGTGCGGTTTGTAAAGCGGGAGTCCGCGTGTATCATAGCTGTCGAAGTGAAAGGTCCTCTGGACGACGATGTGCGCTGCAGGGCCGGCAACCGCAGGGCCTGAAAAAGAAGACATGGTGTTAGAACCACAAGCTGTCAGACAAACTATGGAGGGGTGCAAAGCCGTCATCAAGGATAGAGGGCAGCTGCTCATATGCATAGATCATGCAAAGCAAACCGGACGCAACTATACAAACAACATGAAAGTACACCGGGGACAGGTATATTCATAGAACATCGAAAAAACATGTGTGAGATCGTGCACCCAAGTGCACCAGGTTTAACAAGCATGCAGATGGGTAATTTACATCGCACTTCCGCGTTGTGCAGTGTACTGCGGCCGGCGCAACGTCATTATAAAAACAACTTTCAACCTTTTTTTCAACAAATTTATTGCGTGGACGAACGCACTAGCGCGATGAGGAGGGTAGTGGCACAAAGCATTAACACTGTTTTACCTTAATCAGTTCTAGCCTGAACCATAAGGAGATTCATTTTTTTAAAAAACTTAGTCTTCGAAAAGAAAATATTTGCAACAACAGTAATCCTAAAAGAAAAGATAAGACGGTTTAAAGATTTAATACGAAGATTTGGTTCACAAATTTTACAATTGCTGTTTCTAAAAAAGTTCCGTCGGAACCTTCGCACACTTCTGCCACTGCACCTCAGTGGCCCGGCAGGATGAGGCGTAGTGCCCACCCTGTGCGCGGCAACCCTTTTGCCAATGGCCCTTGCTCAGTACCTCCGCAACACGACCGCGATAGGCGGAGATCGCACTGAGCCAGTAGGTCGATCAAGTCATCAACGGGTTCTCTAGGCCCACTGTGGCACTCTCCGGGAACGGAGGATCTCACGGACGGCAACTCGGCCTCCAGGATCAGGACCTCCAGGGAGGCACTAAGGGCCTGGAGCAGCGAGAGCAGGGTGGGCCGAGGCAGGCCGGCGACGCTCAGCCACTTGAGGCCCACCCTGAGCCTTGGGCATCACAAGCGTCGAGAGCGGTGAGAACGAGGCGCCCTGGAGCTGACACGCATGCGTCTCAGCCGAGGCATGCCTTGCACCGCGAGAAGGTGCTCCTCGCTGGGGTCGAAAATGCAGACCTCCTCCAGCGTGGAGGCGGCACAACAGAGCACGTCCAAGGCCCACACGGTAAACCGTCGCTAGGCGGTTTCGCCTAGCCATAATTGTTACATGACTGGTAAGTCACAGTAGCACATTGGCCCTAGTGGATGTCCAACTCGACTAGGCGGTTTGGAAAACCGCCTAGTCGCCAGTCTGAATTTTTTCATACCGCCCGGCCGTCCTCCCGCGCGCGCTGGTCGGAGCTGGCGTTTCTGCCAGCAGCCTCTACCACATTTCGCCTAGTCGGGCAGGCAATGATGTGCAGTCGGGCGGGCCGTCCCCCGGCAAGCCGGGTGGGCAGTCCTGTTCACGTGACCAGGCTGGCTGAGTTGGTACATTGGCTCAGGATACAAAAGAGGAAGTAAACAGGAAATTAAAAAAAATTAGGTTTATTGACATCTAAATAATTTTAACACTTAAATATTGTCCCTCTATTTTTAAATGACTCCTCTTCATCGGAAGCCTAGAACAAGGAAAATAAATTTACAATCGAACACCAAAAGCAGAAGTCAGCTCAATTTATAAAATGAGAGCAACTTGTACTTACATATTGCTAAAATAGACCACAAAATAAGATGGAAAGTTGTAGGTTGTCTGGGCCAATTTGATTCCATGAAAGTTGGTAGCTGCTGCGGCAAGTGAAAACAGTAAACTGGTGTTCAGTATCCTTATCGAAGGCCAAGTTTCCTGACTTCTCTTGATCGGAAGTCTAGAATAAGAAAAATAAATTACACTCAAACACAAAAGAAAAAAGTCAGCAAAATTTTTATAAAATGAAAGAAACTTGTACTTACATTTTGCTTGAATAGCCCATAAAATAAGAAAATGGATTGTTGTAGGTTGTCTGGGCAAATTTGAATCCAAGAAAATATTATTTCTATGTTTGATTGCCGCTGCGGCAAGAGAAAACAATGAACTGGTGTTCAGTATCCTAATCGAAGGCCAAGTTTCGTGACTTCTCTTCATCAGAAGCCTAGAACAAGAAAAATAAATTACAGTCAAACACCAAAGACAAAAGTCAGCTCATTTTTATACAACGAGAGCAACTTGTACTTACATGTTGTTAATATAGCCCACAAAATAAGAAGATGGAAAGTTGTAGGTTCTCTGGGCCAATTTGATTCCATGAAACAATAATTTCATTGTTTGGTAGCTGCTAGGGCAAGTGATAACATTAACTGGTGTTCAGTATCCTTATCGAAGGCCAAGTTTCATGACTTCTGTTCATCGAAAGCCTAGAACAAGAAAAATAAACTACAATCAAACATCAAAGACAAAAGTCAGCTAAATTTTATATAAAATGAGAGTAAAGTTAATAACATATTGCTAACAAGATAAGATAGGAAGCCTTCTGCCCGCTCATGTATTTAAAAACATATTTGAGGACAAACTACATTATCCTGGCTAGAGTAAAGGTTAGTTTCCTGTTTTCAGAATGTTTACTTTTCAGGTTAGTTGCAAACTTATTTATCAAAGGTAAACCATTTTCTAAAACCAAAGCAAAGGCTCTCGGATTAAAAATTCAGATTGTGGCAAATTGAAGGGTAATATTAAGCAAAATAGGAAGAAACAGGACCGAGGCCAAAGTACGCTTCTATACATTTCACAAGATTTTCGCCTTTCAAGGTTTATTTTTATAAAACGAATACTACGAGTTTATCACTTACCTGCCCATCCTTTGTGCTCTCAAGCGTTGCGAAGTAGGCCACCTATGGCCAGTAAGTTGTTCACTTCAAATAGTTTTTCGATGAGACCGTGAATACATGACGAGTGAGTGACGCGCGCGCTTCAGGGAGAGAGACGCTGGAGCAGGCTGGAGCGGGGAGGAATCCGTAGTTGGGGAGCGTCCCGCCAGAGGGCGACGGCGCGGCGGGGCGCTCTAGGCGAAATCGCCTACTGGAGTTACCACAGTCGCCTACAGCCGCCCACTGGCAGCAGTTACGAGGTCCCGTGAAGATAAGCGGTTCTTCTTAAAAATGTGGTAGACCTAGCAAAAGTGATACAAAATTCCGCCTACTCGACCTGACACAATGTGACAGTGCCGGCACATTCGCTAGCCGGGCTTGGCGTCTTACAAAACGCCTAGCGACGGTTTACCGTGGACGCAACGCGCAACTGTCACAGATCGTGCAGCGACCCAAATTCCGGACTTGTCTCGCCAAACAATCCTCGCGGCATGTCCGTGTAAGCGTGCGAGAGAGACGGACGGCCAGAGGGTCGGAGAACAGGCGCGGAATAGACGACTTGAGCTAGGAGAAAGAAGAGGAAGAAAATACCTTCCCGAACATGGCGGCCGGCCCGAGGGGGAAACAACTTGGGAAAATTTTGTACACCGTTATTTCAAATTCAAATTATTTCACTTATTTCAAACTTATTTCAACTTATTTCAAGTTATTTCACTTATTTCAAGTTATTTCACTTATTTCAAACTTATTTCACTTATTTCAAATCTATTTCAACTTATTTCACTTATTTCAACTAATTTCACCTATTTCAAACTTATTTCAAGCTATTTCACACTTATTTCAGCTTATTTCAACTTATTTCACACTTATTTCAACTTATTTCATAGATTTCCTCTCATTCCACACTAATTGTAACATAATTCAGCCGATTTCACACTTATTTTAACCATACTTATACTGTAACTCAAGCTGTTACGTGTTTTTACTCAATTTAACCCTTGCGTTGGTTAAACCTAGGGTCGCCTAGGGTCAAATTAAAACTTGCTAATGGGCCCAAATTTAAACCTGTTGAACTTGATCCAGGACGAGAGCGGAATTCCAGCAGTATGACTTGGTTAGTAACCATTGTGGAAATATATTCCCACAAAATCCACGATGAATTATATTGTAGCGACATACTTCGAACTCAGTCGTATCTGCTCTTTTAAAATTTAACTACAGGACGCTTTGTTTAACAGACCTGCAAAATTAGACAACAAAGAATCCAATTCACGCCAGAGAGAATTAATAGCATCTTTCTGTGAAACAAAATTACTTATGCTCGGCCGCAGCCGTCCTTGTCTCTCCCATAGGTCCGCCTTGAGAGCGAGGCAAGCGCGCACCAACGCCGCGCGCCGGGCCGCCAGCGACACCGCCGGCCGGTGACGGGGACCGTCCCGGAACAGTTTGACAACATTTGAGTGGGGGGGGGGATGGCCACATCGCTGATCGCTGCCGCTTCGCCACGACCCGTGCACAGTCGCTCTCTCTCGCACAGCCCAGGCGGCGCGTCGAGCCGACCCACCCACTGCAAAACTCTGTTTGGTAGTAGCCGTGCCGAGCCGTGGCCTGCACCGCTCGCCGCCGAGCCCGAGCGCCCTAGGCCGGGCCGAATCGGGAGGCATTGTTGCGCGATATTCCGCGCCGTGGCAGGCGGGGAGGGATTGTCAATGTTGCGCGAAGGCCGTCGCGCGCGAGGTGGGGGTGCCATTGTTTACGCCCGGTGCCGCTGGCGCTGTACCGGGGAGGTATTGTCGAATTCCGCGCAGGCTAAGCCTCACTGCCACATCCCGCCCCGGCAGCCAGCCCCTATTATTACAGCGGTTCCAAACCCTGGGGTCGCGAAAAAATTTCGAGGGGTCGCGGTGGTTTCCCGGCTGGCCCACACGCCGAGCACTGGCGGGAACAACTTTGCGGCATTACTGCTCCCAAACTAAGGCAGATAATCGCACTCCGTAACAAAGGCATGCTAAAGGAAGGACCAAAGCCCAAATTTGCCCGTTGAGGGGGACGAAATACCGCCTCGAATCAGACGCAGTGACTGCTTAAATAACGCGAAGTTGATCAAAACGTTCACAAATGTCTGTGAAAAATCGTGTTTTAGGCCGACTTTAAGCATCTACTGCGTCTGATCCGAGGCGGTATTTCGTCCTCCCTCAACGGGCAATTGGTCTTTGGACCTTCCTTTTGCATGCCTTTGTTACGGAAAGCGATTATCTGCCTTAGTTTGGGAGCAGTATTGCCGCAAAATTGATCCAAACTGTCACAAATGTTTGAAAAATCGTTTTTGATCAACTTTGCGGCAATACTGCTCCCCAAAATAAGGCAGATAATCGCTTTCCGTAACAAAGGCATGCAAAAGGAAGGTCCAAAGACCAATTGCCCGTCGGGGGAGGACGAAATACCGCCCCGGATCAGACGCCGTAGATGCTTAAAGTCGGCCCAAAACACGATTTTTCACACATTTGTGACCGTTTTGATCAACTTTGCGGCAGTACTGCTCCCAAACTAAGGCAGATAATCGCTTTCCGTAACAAAGGCACGCAAAAGGAAGGTCCAAAGACCAATTGCCCGCTGAGGGAGGACGAAATACCGCCTCGGATCAGACGCCGTAAATGCTTAAAGTCGGCCCAAAACACGATTTTTTACACATTTGTGACCGTTTTGATCCTTTGCGGCAGTACTGCTCCCAGGCAGATATTCGCTTTCCGTAACAAAGGCACGCAAAAGGAAGGTCCAAAGACCAATTCCCGTTGAGGGAGGACGAAATACCGCCTCGGATCAGACGCAGTAGATGCTTAAAGTCGGCCCAAAACACGATTTTTCACAGACATTTGTGACCGTTTTCATCAACTTTTAGACAATACTGCTTCCAAACTAAGCCGGATTATCGCACTTTGTATCAAAGGCATGCTAAAGGAGGGGTCGAGTGGGGTCGCGAAATTTTTCCTGGTGGTCGCGGAAATTTTTGGCTACAAATTTGGGGTCGCGAACCGAAAAAGGTTGGGAACCGCTGCCCTATTATATTGATAGGATACGCGCTTGGTTTCTGGACTCGAGAGTAAAAGCAGGCTGACACCTTCATGTGTATAGTAGTTTTAAGTATGTTTCAAGTGTGCAGGTATCATCTGCTAAAAATTCACTAGCCCAGTGAGAGGTTGTGGTTAAGTCATACGTCACCCACCACCCACACGTGCCCCCACCCTCGCTTCTTGGCACATTCACATCCACGTTCCCATTGCTGTTCACGGTTCCGTATACCACCGTTCACCCCCCCCCCCCCTTCCCAACGCGCCCCCTGGTGCTCGGGGCAATCGAAATAACGGGAATTTCCGAGTTATTTCACACTTATTTCAACTTATTTCACACTTATTTCACTTATTTCAAACTTATTTCAACTTATTTCAACTTATTTCACTTATTTCAACTTATTTCACTTATTTCAAACTTATTTCAACTTATTTCACTTATTTCAAATTTATTTCAACTTATTTCCGAAAAAATGTACACCTTATTTCAAGTTGTTTCCCCCTCGGGCCGGCCCCTCATTGGTCCTAGCAGCCGACGGCGGCCGTCCGCCATGTTCGGGAAGGTATTTTCTTCCTCTTCTTTCGCCTAGCTCAAGTCGTCTATTGGGTATGTCATGTCAGTGGGCGTTGCATGCTACGCTATGCTAACACCGCGGCGCCGCGTCGCTGCATGTGGCGTGTTCTCACTCACACAAGCGCGCGTGCCCCGACACGGCGTGCCTTGTCCGACGCGTGTGGGATCCACTCGCCGGCGGCTGGCCGGGCCGGGCATTCCAGCTAGTTCACGAAGTTAGCGCCCCGGCGAGAACCGAGAGCGGCAATTACAAGGGACCCCTTTCCTTCGGCGGCTGTCCCTGTCCCTGCCGGCCCACACGAAGAGTCCCCTCGCCACCTTGTCTCCGTCCTCCGTCGCAGGGGTGCGAGGGAGACAGAGCGACGCGGTGTCGCGCCGCGCCTGCCGAAGTTGGGCGGCGATACACCGGCTGCGAGCGTCACCCGCCACCGCCAGCTACCGTAGGGCGTATAGGGCACCGCGCCGCGCGCTCTGGCGGCCGGCCGCCGAACCAGGAGCCACGCTGCGGGCTGCGGAAGGCGCGAAGCGCGAAGCAAAGATCGTCAACGGGTGGATCGCGTCGGTCCACCCGAAGCGACGCAAAACGATAACGACACGACCGCACGATTCCGAAGGGTCCTTTCGTCGCTCTGTCTCTCTCGCACTCATGGGGCGTGCCGGGTGCGAGAGAGACAGCGACAGTGAGTGGACACAGTGGGGCAGCGTCGCGCAGCGTGCGACACGGTGACTGGGTCCAGGCGGTCCAGGCGCGGGCCGGGTCCAGGCCCGGCCACCACGCGATCAATCTTGTTAAACCAATAAGCGGCAGCCTGTACCGCCACCGCAACAGGGTCGCGGTCCCCGTGAGAGAGAGACAGAGTGGGAGGGCCTTGAATGCGACTCGACTCAATGATGGCGCCGCTGCTATCAGACAGAGGCGCCAGCGGGAAAGCCCCGGGAGCCTTCCCCATGACGGCGAGGCTCACTCCAGACAGGGCTTTCGTCTCTCTGTCTCTGTCGCACTCGCGGGGCGTGCCGCAAGGCCGCGAGGGCGTGCGAGAGAGACAGCGCGCCGCTCGGAATCAGTCTGCAGCGACCTGCAGCCTCCGGGCGCCGCGTCGCGTCACGGAGCCTCGTGACTGTGACGTCACGGCGTGACCCTGGCGCCGTCCCACGGAGGTGTGTCCGCGTCCAGCCGCACGCGACAGACAGACGGACGGACAGACAGACGGACAGACAGCCGCCTGCAATCTGGGGCGACGCGCTTCCCGCGCTTCCATTTCCAACGCGAGCTGTTGGAAGCTGGTGGCTGGTGGCCTTTTGGCGCTGTCACTAGCGGGCGGCGGCAGTGTTCTCAAACGGGCGGTCCGGCTCGGCCCATCCCATCCTGGCGCTGCTTGGCCAGAGCGCCCAGCCCGGCCCGCCACTCTGAGCATGGGCCGGGTGGCGGCCCGGACCGTCCAGAGGAGCGGGCCGTCGCACAACCCGCCCCGATCGGCACCACTCTTGGCTTCGGCTGCGTAGCCGAGCTCGCAACGCGCTGGCTCGCTGCGAGCGGCGGTCGGTTCGATGCCAGGCAAGGCAGCGCGCCGCTCGGCAGCCATCCTTGTCTAACCCACTGGCCGCCTTGAGTGCGAGAGAGATGCAAGATGTGCTCGCACGTCGAGCGTCGACCACACCTCTGCCGCCGGTCCACCGGCCGCCGGCGGCCGGTGACAGAGGCAGC